TCCTTAATCTTTGGGAAGGGAAAAAACAAATTGCAGAAATAATTATCCTCTCTCCAGAAGAGCAAACTAAAATCAGGTCTTCTTAATCCCACATTTTAAGACTTACAAATGCTACTCATCATTTCCTTACTGTCTGCTTCCTCCAGGTGCAGAGCAAGATTCATGCTGGTTCTGAGCCAACCGGTGGCACTAACATCTCATATACCCCAACCAAACAGTGTTAGTCAAACACTAGATACAGGCAAGTTTATAAACCCAGTTTAAGCCCCATGCCCAACAAGTCATTTTCAATGACTATTTGTACAATGGCATGGAAAATTAACTACAGTCGTGCATGAAGCACTCCGCTACCCACCCTGACAAGAGAGAATTGCCTTCTGCCTGCCTGATGGTTGGCTGCATTTCCCATCTCTCCTATCAGCAAGACTGTCAGGTATACACTCAGGAACTCACATCAGAACCTTATCCTAGCATGCAATAAGGCACTTAAAAGGTAATGGCAACAGTGGTAATAAAGTTTAACAGTGGGAGCACATTTTTAATTTGTGTAACAAGCCTTTAAAGTAAGAAAAGTGGGGATATGTCCCTCTTTACATGATGATTTACTGCATAAGAAATTGATTTGGGACTCAGTAGATGTGGGTTCCTATTTTCTACTGATCTTCAAAACTTCCTGTGCAGCTGCTGAGAGGTACATGAGACTGCCATTAGTACAGGCAGAGAAAAATACTTCCTTACCTCAAATAAATATAGGAATAAAGTTCACTGAACACTGAGGTGCTTGTGTTCTTGTGTTATAACTCCTAAATGGACACCCTATTTACAGGGGGTAGGAGAGGAAGAGGAAATCAGACCACTGACTTCATATCAAAGTCTACAAGAATAAAATGCAAAGTCAGTGCATCATTTCAACAATGAAAACAGAACGAAGGAAAAAAAAAAAAAAAAAACACAAACAGAAAAAGCTTTAAAACAAGAACTATATGGGGACATCTTTGCTCTTTTTTCCCCTTGAAGTTCATGTCATTCAGAACATGACTTGAAAAAGCTAAAAAGAGTCCAGTGGACATGTTTTTAAAAGAGTCATCAACGCTTACTCTTCTTAGTACTGTACAGAAGTAGCACCTTCATTGCCCTGGAGGGGAAAGCAGAAATTAAAAACCAAAAAGGACCAGGAATTTATTTCTTCCAAGTATATGACAAAAACAGTATTAAACATGCAGTGAACACATCAGCCACTTTTTGAAGCTACTGAATGAGTAAATTCAAAGAAAAAATTTAACTTTTATTTAATAAGAACTAGCAGTCTTAAGATATTGATCCGCTTTGCATTAGGAAAGTTTGTAAAATTATTCCCATGTACTTGAACTAGTGGAGGCAGCTTTCAGTAACCACCCCTCTTCCATACTAGAAATTCCAGTGTTTTCACGTAAATGGATGCTGGAATTTAGGTGGATTTGATTTAATCCTACCTTTTTTTTTTTATTATTTCTTTTTTTTGGTCCGGTGAAAAAACTTGTAAGAATTCCAGGGCCTCCCACAGGTACATAAGTTCATGAAAAATGTTCAAGTTCTACAAGTCCACATGCTGCTACACAAAAAAATTAATCAGATATAAAGAAAAGCTGATACCTAAACAGCACTATCCCTCAGTCACGTACCACCAAATTCTAGAATAAAATTTAAATCCTAGGTATTCATGTAACGCCTGATGTCTGATAATGCTTTAATTTCTTACAGATAGCAAGTTCTTGGGCTATTTCTAGAGTTTGCTTACAACTGTATTTCCTGCTGAGACATTTGAACAGACTCCTTGTCGCCAGCCCAATATTATAGCCCTTATGTCAAGGAACTCAATTCTTCTTGTCCAGGCACTCCAAAGAGCTTGGCTTTTAGAATTTAAATTTCACCTTCTGGATTCCCATGTAACAAGCACCTCTGAAGACACTACACAATGAATGGAGAGAAAGGATTAAGTGGTTCCACTGTATAAGAGAATCTGGGACTAACAGCACAAGCCTCCATGGCTCACTTTTCCACAGTTCTTACTGTGAAGACTTGCCCCAGGGCCTGTGCCTAAAACCAGGGGAAATTGAGATGCATGCTTCCACTGCAGCCACAAGGCAAAAGAAGCAGATAGTTTGTCTGCTACAGATAACCTTTTCAGTAAAGGGCAGCAGTAGATCTGCTGCATGAGGGAAGTATCTTCGGTGCATAAGAAAACCTCAGGCAAATGAGGGGATGTTTGTGGTCAGTGTGTGTTTACTAAGATACAATCTCTTTCAGGAGAGTAAGGGAGAAGCTGGTGTATTTTCGTACTTCACACATACAGAACCCTAGAAGCAGAGGCACGTGCTTTGTCACCTTGCTAACCAGGACAACGATATAATTTTGCTGGTATAACTTCAGACCTACAAAAGACTCGATGTTAGGCCTTCCGGCCTGCTTTGAGACATTATTTCACACTAGAAGGGAGTACACTTTGCAGATCACATTTTAGTACCTGGCTTCAGAAGACAAATTGATAACCTAGCATTTCAAACCACAACTGACAAATTTTAAACTTACTTCCATGACATTATGCAGAACCTGGGTTTCAGAAAAGGCTTTCTGTTTCAAAAACCAATCAAGAAGCTAGGCCCAGGACAAAAGTGCTGGTCCTTAATACCTTTACTTTTAGAAAGTATTTACAATATTGATGCTACAGGAAGTTATTGAACACCTAGTAGTAATGTAAAAGTGATAAAAGACATATGATCACACATGCAGCTTAAATTTTGGGAAAAAAAGAATTTCATTTTTGCACACCAATTATTTAATAACCCTGATCAAATTTCACTTTTCTCTCATATACTTGCATAGTCCTTATAGGTCTAGAAAACAAACACTAAGATGAAGTAGTATTTTCACCTGTAAATAGTAATTAGATTGCTTATAAGATATCCAGTATCACTGATGACTTCTGGCCTCCTAAGAACCCCTTGCCGTAAGGAGGCAATGAAAAAACCAAACCCATAACCTCACAGTCTGATAATGCTTGAAGTTATTTTGTCATATGTAACAGCTTCTCTCTCCAAAAAAAAGGGTATTTAAGAATCGTTAAACTTCACCCCATTCATTGGGTACAAGGAGCAATCAGTACTAATAATTGTACTTGAGGACTGCCTGGCTTGAAAACCATTATTCTGAAAAACAATACAGACTGAAAAATAATGTTACCTAGGCAATGTAAGACACAAGCCACCAGGAAAAACAGATGTCTGGGTCTGTACGCTTGTGCGAAGACTGGAATAAACGCCAACATCTGTAGCTCAGGTCCTTTTTCCCCAGGGATGCTGGATGCCCGACGTGAATCCAACTGAGTCAAAAGGCTGTGCCCATGTGCTCGCCCCTCTCCCGGCTCCCCCATTTTCTCATTCCCACTACTTTTGTAAGGGCAGCACCATAAAACGGGCGGCTGGCCGGGCACCGCTCCCACCCCTCGCTCCCCCTTCCGCGCGTCGCGGCCGGGGGCAGGCGGGGAGCCCCGGCGGGGCTCGGCCCAGGGCGGGGGGGGCCGACACCCCGCCCGCCCCGCCGCGCTCCCCCCGCCCTCTGCTAGAAGGGTCGAGGAGGAGAATGCCCGTGAGCTGCCGCCGCCGTTCCCCGGGAACGCTCGCCCCCAGGCAGACCCACGGCTCCGGCCTCCCAGAGCGAAGGAGGGGACTCGGCTGCTGCTGTCGCGCCCCTCGGCCCCTGCCCAGGCCGCTCCCTGCCGCGGGGGGAGCCCACGAGGGCCTCGGCGGGGGCCGCCCCCCCCCCCGAAGGGCTGGGGAGGCGCAGGGCGGCTCTGGGCGAGCTGGCTGACCCCGCCGCTGGGTGGGGGCGCTCGGGGCGGCTCCACCGTGAGGTCTCACCTTTTCGAGAGGTCCATGAGGACCCCAGAAAAAAGCTTCTCTCCCAGCCGGAACGAAACCACCAGGGCGTCCTCGATGATGTGATCCAGAGTGACCCGCACCTCGGAGCCAGGCAGCAGCGGAGCCTCCGCTTCCCCTCCGGCCAGAGCCACGGGCACCGGGGGCTTGGGCTCGACAGCGGCGGCATCAGCAGCATCCGGCTCCTCCTCCTCCGGCCGGGACGGCTCCTCCCCGGGCTCCGGCACCGCGGAGCCCCCAGTAGCCGGCGGGCAGGGCTGCGGCGGCTCCCCGGGAAGTTCAGGGTGCCCAGCAGGCGGCGGGCAGGGCTGCGGCGGCTGCTCGGGCTCCGGGCTCGGCGCTCCCCGGGGCTCGGCCTGGGGCGAGCCCACCTCCGGGGCGGAGGGCGGCAGCTTCTCCGTCCTCTCGGCTTCCGGCTCCTGAGTCCCCGCCGGGCTCCGGGCGAGCTGTACAGGCGGCGGCTCCTCGGCCTCACCGGGAGCAACCTTCCCCCCGTCGGCCTCCTCCCCATCAGGCACCACCGACTCCACGGCCTCGGTGACGGCAGGGAGAGGATCCGCGCCGGCCTCGCTGCCCGGGATAGGCTCCATCTCTGGCTCGGCTTCGCCAGCCCCCCCATCGCCCGGCACCGCTGCAGTCGCTGCCGCCTCCGCAGCCATGGCCGCCATTTTCTCTGCTGCTTCACCGCCGCCTCCCTCCAGCAGCGGGATCGATAACCACGGCCTACCCCGCCCGCCTGGGAGGGAGAGCCCGCCCCGTCGGCTCGCGTCCGGCACCCTATTGGTAGGCGCGGTGCAATTTTCTACTTCTATTGGGGAGCCGTGTAGTCCGTCAAGCCCAGCGAGAACTTCTCGTTGGCCAGCGGGGGCTTCATTCAATGAAGAGTCGGGAAGAGGAAGAAGGGGCGTGGCTTGGTGCTTTACAGGCCGTTACAGATTAGAGGGGTTGAGCCTCTAGGGCTGCTCCGCTATCTCATTGGCGGAAGGAGGAGCCTCTCCTGTGGGAGGTTGGTAATTGGTGCGGCCAAACGTCCGTCTGCGGGGCGCGAGGCGAGAGTTGCGCGGTGGCCGGCGGGGAGAGGGCGTGGGGGAAGATGGCGAGGGACGTCCTCGGCGGGGCAGCTGAGCCCGGGGCGGTGCGCCCGCGAGGCTGTCTCTATCTCTGTCTCCCAGCGTGTACAGTGCTGCGCCCGCTGCCGCGCGTGTGCTGCTGCTCTGTGGCGCTGCCTCCCCCCGTGCTGTGGTGGCGAGCGGGGCCCTTACTGGGGGGGGGGGTATGAAAAAGTGTGGGGAGCGGGCAGGTCTCTGGGGAGAGGGAAAATGTGAAGAAGGCAGAGGGCCTGGTGTCTTTTGTGAGGTAAATCAACGCTTTAGAAGATTAAGTACCGTGAATTAGGTACATTGGATAAAGGTGAAAAGCGCAGCGGTGGAAGAAAAAAGAGTTAACGTTTTCCCTTAAGATGTTATGAATCAAATGATTTTTTCTTTTTTCTTTCTTTTTTTTTTTTTTTCCTGTGGGATCGATAGTTGTTATCGTGTGGGCATTTTTCCCACCCAGATAGGAAATCTTGTATTTCCTAAACAAGGTTTAATGAAAAAGCAAAGGTTTTAGTCTGTTACGTGCACGATTTTACATTTTGGGAAGCGGAGTCCTTTGCAGAAAGAAGGCATTTGTTAGAAGGAAGGACGCATGAGAAATAAAAGTAGGAGCAACTGGAGACAGAAAGACAAAAGTGATCTTAAAGCATGAATGGTTTTATTCATCTTTGTGCTATTATGAGAGGTACATTGTTCAGTAACAAATTTTCTGAAAAGTACAGGTCAAATCTGTAATATTTTCTTTAAAAGTAAAGTATTCCTTTTCTTTCACGTTAGTGACTTCTATTGGCAGGCTTCAAAGTTGCTACAAACCATATACTTCCAATAGAAACAGCTACACCCCGAGTTGTCAGGTAAAAAACTTGTCAGGTGTTAAGAACTAATTACATTTTTGCAAGGGGTATGGGAAAAAAATGCTTGATCAGATTTAAGGCTTGGTACTACATTTACTTTTTTTCCCCTTCATTGTAGGAAAAGTGAGTTATGCGTAGTTAAAGGACTACAATAATGCAAATAATTTTTTTTTAGTAATAATAAATGAGGATATGGAATAGCCTTCTGTAACAGCAAGAAAGCTATGTATAACTGCAAGTAAAACGTGATCTTGCAAGCTGCTAGCTATAGATTTTTAGTAAGTAATAAAGTCATGATTAACCTACTCCATTGTGTTGATCATAGTGGTTTGACTTGCATAACAGACATAAAGGCTCTTTCTTCTGTATCTGGTAGTGGTTTACTTTTCATGGTGAGCATAGTGGTTGCGTTATTGGTGGTGTAAAGTGTGTAAGAAACATGGAACATCAGGCGGAACAGCTAGAGACGTTTCTGGAGACAAATACATTAGAAATATAGTTAAAGAATTTGGTAAAGATAAAACTGGTTAATACGTTTACGTATGTTTTATCACTTTATCTGTTAAATCAATGGTTTGGTAGTGTGGGTGGATAGAATAGAATGTGTTTATTGGGGGATGGAGTAGTAGATACTGAATTTCAAATTTATTTTTTTCCAGCAGTGCTTGCAGCTCTGTCAGTCTGTATCAGAGAAACAGCAGATGGATTCAGCATATGATCTGTGGCTTAAAACAAATCAGATTTGGTAAGCTTTTCTGAAACTACCTACCATTAATATTACTTCCTAAATCATTTTGAAACAATTTTGTTAGACCATATTTGTAAAAGATCTGTATTTTGTGTCCTGAGGCCATAATGCTTTGAAAGATGGCAACTGTCTAGGCACCCCTAAGGCTGAATATGTTCTTTGCCAGATTTCTGGAGAATAATGAGAAGATTTATGTTGCTACCGAGTTACCTTCATTTCAAAGCTATCTGTGTGCAAGGATTTCACTTTAATTCAGATCTGAGTTTTCACTTTTTTCTATATGTTTTGCCAGGGAGAATGCAATAGTGGCTCTGGAAAGTTCACAGAAGTTGCAACTGATTCGTAAAGAGTTCTTATCTTGAAGAAGCTTGGTATAAAATAAATGGTTGTAAGAGTGGAAGGAGGACTTTGCTGTTGTCTCGTTATTTTTGTTCTGTGTGATTATGATACATAGAAAATGAAGACTTGTTTCCCAGAAACTTTTTACCTTATTCAGATGAGTCCTAGAACAGATTAAAGAACCATATTAGTGCAGATAGCTCATACGTAGCACCAGAACTGTTTTTACATTGCTCTCCTACGCAAAGAATTTCACTGTGTTTGGAGGTACTCCAACTGTATTTTAACAGTAGACCAAACCATGCTCTGCATGCACAGGACTGTTCTGCATGTTAGAGGTATGATCATCTGTTCGAATACTGTTTTCCTTATTACTGTCTTACACTAGTAGTAATCCATTTGTTCATTCCAAGACTAATATTGTGAGGAAAAAGCGTCACATTAGTTAGAAGCGCTGGCAAGGTAGAGGGGTATGTATTTTTAAATTATTTTTTATTTTTTTTTACTTAGGAAACATAGTACTGTATTTCAAAAGCGTACAAACACTTGCACTCAGATAGAAGTTTGCAAAAGCAAAGTTGCCAGACAGCTTTCGTGCCAGAACTGTCATGGTCCTTACTATAAAACAGCAAGGCTTGTGTAGATACTTTGTAAGGTTGGTGATTTTTATTGTGCTAGTCGGCCAGTTCAGTTAGCCACAGTTCGTTTCTCTGGTGCTGCTGTGCCATGGTGTAGAAGGATGGCAGCAAATTCTGAGCCTACAAGAAATTACCAACTAACACAAAGAGACTACTCAGCCCTTGAGCTGATCGGGCATTAAGATCCAATAGCTCAGCCCAGCAGGCTTTTTGTTATGTGAAATTCAGACTTATGTAGAGGATGGGCGTAAAATGGAAGATTTCCTCTCTGGAAACTTCAGGGAGGTTGATGCTTACTGAAATCCATCTTCATTTTCCGCAGGTGTTGATTATGGCAGAGAGTTACCATAAAAATGCTATTTGTCATCTTTTACATCTCCTGGAGTCCCCAGCAATCCTTGTGCTAAGCATAGGAAATAAAACTGGGTGTATGGTTTGTTAACACTGAATTGTTTCATTGCAATAACAGAGGAGATTAGGGCTTGACCCAAGCAGTTTCAACTACTGGGGGGATCTTAAAATAAAATGTGAACAGCTCTTCTGCAGTGTCATCTGTATTTTGCAAGGTCCTATATGTGCTTTTACAAAGAGGTAAATAAGGACATTTATATACCACTCTAATGGCCAACAGAAATATGATACCATGAGTAACCCTTAAATGAAACTATACTAGCAATAGGCATGTAGATGCAGGATGAAACATGTAAATTTAACAAAAAAGTGCTCACTGTGTGATATTTTTTCCATCCCAAATTCTTTTGATCACCATTTAATTTCTGTTTATTTTAAATCTAGCCTGTAAGTGCTTTAGGATAGGATTTGTCTGTCTGTGGCTGGGTTGCATAGTGTTTGACATAGTTGGTTTCAGGACAGAAACAAGGTCCCCTTAGAAACTGCCAAAATAAATTGAAGTTAGTGAAACTGCACTATAACTCCTGTAGATTAAAATGAGTTTTCATGTATTCAACAATTGGCAGAAAGGACAGAAGTAGAAAGGAGAAACTATGAGTTTGAGAAAGGAACTGATACAGTTGGAGGGAATAAAATGATTAATTTGATGGCAGGAAAAAAGCAAAGCTCTATGAAGATGTGTTAACAGTGTATTGACAGGCTGGGTGCCTGAAAAAGTTGTAGTAAATTTGGATTGAGTGAGTGAGCGGATGAGATGTGGTTGCATGATGCCACTAAAAGTAGATACGAGTGTACCTGTATGCATGGGTATACACAGATGAAAGAATTGTTTCTGTGTGTGTAGGCTGGAATGTGATAATGATTGGGTCTGACAGACTTGGCTGTTTAAAGGCCTGTGCTGCTCAGTATTAGTGATACTGATTTGTTCTGTCATGATCCAAGTGTATCATTGCACTGACCTAACTGAACAGAAAGTCTTAAAGTCTGTGAATAGTCACGGCATGTATGTGTGTTTCATTAAGTGCATTTGGTCAGGATGAATATAGTTTAAGATGACATATAGTGGTAACATCATTCCCTGGGCATCAAGTTCCGTAAAAGTGCACTACCATGAAAGAGCCAACACAAAATGCAAGGTTGTAATGGTACAATATATATAAACAGAGTATAATCAGGGTTGCAATGAAGCCAAAGTGCATGATTGCAGCATATCTACAAATACTCAGCTTCCTTTAAGTTAATTTAGCTACCAATAATAGTGAAGCTTTGATAGCAGTTTTCAGAATGGGCTGCACCCTGGTAATTGCCTAATAGCTGGAATTTGTGGTGTTATTGGTATCCAAGCTAACTGGATAAGTATAAGTTCACTTTGTCTGTTCATGCTACGACTGATCTGTCTTAGTGTAGGCATATGAAAGGTCTAAACGAGTGTGTGGATTTACAGGGAGTGTTTACAATGCCTTGGTAGGATAGTAGATATTTTTCCTAAGTTCTAAACTGGGGCATAAGAATTTTACATTAGAGCTTTACAATTTGAAGTTCTAACAACTTTGCTGAGACTTTATGATTCCACACATTAAAGGAATTATGGTTTATTCAGAAGCTTTGATCTTTGCTGGCTCTTCAGCAACAACACCAAGAAATAGTGTACTACAGGAAACATCATACTTTTCTCCCTGTGTCAGTCTGAATCATAAGGGCAATAGCTTCCTGTGACTGCTATAGTGACAATTTCCTGTGACCCTGAGGAAGGTCAGAGGTCTCACAAAAACCTCCACAAGTCAGGGTTTGGGGACCACAGTTTTATGCTGTGTTAATAAATCCATTTTAACATTGTTCAGTGTTTGCAAAGCATAATCTGCTGTTGTGAAATTGTCAAGGCTTTCCTATTTAAAAGAAAAAGTGTAACCAAAGAAAGCCAAGGTATATAAGCAATGCAGAGGAATATAAGCAAACAGAAAGTAAAGATTGGGTCTTGATTGTATGCTGCAGACTTACTACTTCTATAAGTTAGGAAAACAGCTGTTGATCACATTTAAGCTGTTTTGAAACTTAGTTATTGATTTATTATGGAAAATTGGTATGGGAGGAGAAAATCATCAGTCATTCCTGTAATGTTTGGTAACTGATTTTTGTAGTCATATGAATGCAGAGCTCATTTTGTTACATTTATGAATGATCATTAAAGGATTTGTAAAATCTCACTGCATGCACACATGCCCCAGAAGTCTAACCTGCAATTTGAAAAGTTAATTATGTGCTGAATTTCTTGTGAACAAGAGATGAAGTCAACAATTGGGGCTTTACGTAATATCTGTATGGAGAATTGATTTAAATCAATTACCGTATTTGGGATTGCTTTAGAAAAAAAAAAAAAAAATGCACCTAGAAGTGAGCCCCTGGGGTGAAACACTGGCATTAGCTCACTGCTGACATGTCTCACACTTAAAATTTTAAAGAAATGTGAGTCTGAAACTACTTCGTGTCTTATCTTGTAATCTGACTGATTTCTGCCGTCTTCTGAAATTTGTGCATTTGTAGGTACTGGTGATATCCACATTGTATCTCCACATACTTTTCCATTCAGACAAAAGGAAACAACCTTAAAGATGCAAAATTGCTATTACTATTATTGTTTCATATTTTGACATCTAAAAACCTTATCTCTAGTTTTGCATGCATACATTATATCTGTTTCAATAAAAGATCTTCCATTATTTTAGTAGAAATAAAAAAAAATAATTATCATGCACTAAAAACTAGGTCTATAGTGTCTCTCAAACCGTGACCATTGTTGCTAAATTATTAATTTATTAATTATAACTAATTCTTAGTAGATCAAGTGCCAGTCCTTTCCCACACATATACCCTAGTCTTCTTCCACAGTTACTTATTACCAGTATTAAGAGCTGTGGATGTAAAATGAATTCATTCATTTATATGATACAATTTTGTAGTGCCCAGCCAGATCAATCAATTTTATTGAGTGTTGGAGACTCAGTAAATCAAAATTAGTCTAAAATGTGACTGAGACATCAAGGATCATAGTTTACAGGGTATAGTTTTTGAAAGTATTGTCAAGACAGCTCAGTCTTCATAGTGCTGTGGGCCAGAGACATACCGGTATACGTACAGGAGGCTGTTGGGCCGGGACAGCACTCTGTCAGCACATGAGCTGCCTTGTGTCTGAGTCAGGTATTTAATACTCCAGTTCCTTCTTGCTGGTGCTACAAACTTCATGATGGCAGCCCATCTGACCACTGTTTCATCAACTGTGGCAGGCAGAGGAATACTTTTTCCATTCTTCTGCTCTGATCGACCAGGTGGATTCAGTTTGGGAGATGCTAATTTGTTAATGTGGACCTAAGTGACTAAGAAAGTTCATTTTCCATAGCTGTTTAGGTGTAGAAGGTGGTATTTACCTGATCTAATTTAAGTGCCTAGATTAAATGGCCAGTTTAGGAGCTCTGTTAGTAAGGAAGGGAATCGCTGACAGGAAAGTGATTCAGAAAGGGATGCTAAGCTAGCTCTGAAGTGATCTCAGAAGGCCATCTGTCCTTTTGACTATACAGGTATTTCAGTTTCACAGTTCAAACACTGAAATTGTGA